TGTGGGGCTTGCTGATTGCACTAAGTACAGCCATTGTGGGCACTATTTTTCAATGTGCCCTCTGCTCCCCAGCTGTGTGTGGCACTCAACCCAAGCGAGGTTCCCTTTGAGTGCTGGTGCTCAGAGTGTCCTCCCCCAGAGTCTGAAACTCTGAGGGTGGAGCCCAGCAATTTGTCTACACAGGCCCTCAAGACACTGCCTAGGGGTTCTTGCTTTTAAGATTCCTGGAGACTGTCCTCTTGGGATAGGACTCAGATCTTCAGCTTTTCTTTGATTCTTTGAGCTTCTTGTTTTTTTCCAAATCCTGCCTTTTCTTTTGCTTTAGTTAGCTAGAGTCAATTTCTGTAGCTTAGAATCAAAGAGCCCCGTTGACACCGAGTGGAAGGATTTGGTCAGATGAGCCATAAGGCCCCTTCCAGCCTGTCCGCTTTGAATAAATGAGTCCATAAATGACTGATTGATGGGATTAAGTTATATCCCCTCTAGTTTGAGCTGCTCTGAGAGAAAGCAAAATTGGAGTAAGGGAGGTGAGAAATGTGACTAGATGCTGATTCCAGAATGAGAGTTCTGCATGGACTGGGATTAGGACAAGCTCAGGAAACCCGCCCCATGGACGGCATCCTCACTGACTGGCTAGGTGGCCTTAGGGAAGCCACATAGCCTCCCTGGGTCCCATTTTCCTCTCTCTAAAGGAGAGGATTATTCTGCACACTTTGCTCCTTCCTCTTCTGTAGCTAAATTAAAACGCACACGTGACTAACAGCAGCTTTGGGGTGGCCGCATGGAGTGTGGCCTGTTGGGCTGTGAGCAATTTGATGAAGAAGTCTTCATCTTGGTTATTTGGGCCAGATGCTCCGGCGCAGACCCCGCTGACTCATTGGTAGCCCCGCCTTCCTGAGCACCGGGCTGGGGTCAGCTCTGAAATAAAGCCATCTGCCTTCCCGGAAGCTCCCCACTGCGGTGATGCAAGGGAGTTGGGGACAAGAACAGACATTTGGGGAGAGTACTGGCTGGGTGAGGGGAGGTCCGAGGGATGGGGAGCTTTTCTAGCTGCTGGAAAGATTTATTGGAAGTGAGACGTTTCTAAGAAGAAATTGGTATAAATGGGTGTTTACACTGGAACTCAGAGGGGCTGTGTAACTTACAGGCATTTGGAAGAGGAAATGTTCAAAAGCACCAGTTCATGATGTCTTCACAGCTGTTCGGGTCAGGAGAACCAAGCTCGGGGCGAGACAGCACTGCCTGTTGGGGGATGAACAGAGACCTCTCTGGCTTTGTGTGCTTTGGGTTCTTTCCACCTCTCGCAGCTTCTCTTTGCCTCTCTGATTCTTCCTGATGTCTAGTCTTCTGGGTTTCAGCTTCTTGTTTCCATAAGTTGCCTTCTGTGCAAGAACCCATTTTGATTGCAAGTGACTAATCCCTAACTTGTAACAACTTGGCGACACAGGGGGACTGTATTGGCTCTTGGAGTCAAACCCTGAATTTGAACAAATAAATCTTAGAAAGGGAAGGGTGCAGGTGGACTTCAGGAATGGCTTGAACCAGGGCTTGTACTCACCGGTGGAGGCTCAGCTTTGCTTCTCCCCATGTGCTGGTTTCACCTTCTCTCACCATAGACCAGCTTCTGCCATATGGTGGGAAACATGGCTACCAACAGGGCTCTGGTTCACCTTTTATAATTCTCACTACTGGAGAGGGGCTAACTTTTACTTTCTGGGTCTCAAGTTGAATTAAAGAGAAAGCACAAGTGACTAAAAATCACACCTCTGCCAGTGACTACCCACGTGAACTTGTGAAAGTTTTTCTCTCTGAACAGTGGCTGTCTCATCCGAGAAACAGGGATGAACACACTTCCCAGGTCAGAGAGGCAGTTATCAGCTGATGGGTGGGAGCAGAGGCCAGGCCACCTAACTTCAATGTCAGTTTTGCTACTTAGAAGCAGTGTGCCTTTGGGCTAGTCCCCCAACCACTGAGTGCCCCAACTTCTTTGTCTCTAAGACACCACTTGGAGGGTGGTATGA